CTTTTGAATAACTACTAATCTAAACAAAATAACTTTTTTTTTTTTTAGATCTTCACTGTATTTATTTATTTATTTATTTATTTATTTATTTATTTATTATTTTTGGTCCTAGCGGGAACCAAACCCGGGACTCTCTGTTCCGCAGGCCAATGCTCAACCACTGAGCCAAACTAGCCAGGAAAAAAATAACTTATTGATGAACAGCATTTTTCAAGTTTCAAATAGCTGTGATCACAGTCACTATTTCATTCTTCTATAAAAGTAAAAAAATTATCATTATTTATCAGGAACATACAACCACTAGAATCAATCTAATATTGTTCTTGGCTTCTAAGTCTATTCTGTAAATCTTTTTCAAATCATTAGAATCATAGATAATTTACACCAAGTAGAACCATAGAAAGAAAGCACTGCTTTGAAACATTGATATAATTTGATAATTAGAATTAGCTCCCTCTTCATTTCATTGAAAGTCTTTTATCAGATTTACTTTAGGTCATATGTGTGTATTCTAAAGTATCAGATAAAAGCTAGTAGTTTGTCAACTTTAAACCGTCACTAGAGAACAAGTAAATGGTCAGTGAGGACAGTAGTATTGAATTTTAGAAGGATGAAAAAGAGCAAATAAAGTTTAAATACATGACAGCAAAGTGACAAAAATTGTTCAATAAATTCCAACTAATTTGTAAGGGCTTTGCAGGCAGAATCAATATTTTATACATTTTGGAATTCCCATAATGCCTAGCAATTTGCATGGTATATTGCCAGAAGAAAGGAATGTAAAACCTGAAGGAATAATAACAGCTAATGACAAAATGATGTTTCACTTGGTAAAATTTTACAGTTAAATGAAGAGGAGCCAGCAGTAATAATTAACACATTTATCTTGTAGTGCAAAGTTACAATCTAATGAGGCATTCAGTATTAGTGTCTATGTTTTAAGGATGCAAAACTGAGGTTCATAGAAATTAAGTGATGAAAAAACTAGAAAGAGCTAACAAAAAGAAAATAATAGTTTCTAACCCAATGTTTCTAGAACAGCGATTTTCAACTTTTTCCATCTCATGGCACACATAAACTAATCACTAAAATTCTGTGGCACATTAAAAAAATACTTTTTCCCAATCTGACAAAAAAAAAAATAGGTATCATTTTGATTCACTCACACCGGAGGGCTATTGTGTTGGCTGTTGTCATTTTTCAATTTGACAATCTAAGGGCCCCTCACTAAATAGTCAGGTATGGCATGTTTTAAAAATTCTTGTGGAACATGTTGAAAACCCTTGCTCTAGCCCTGGCCAGTTTGGCTCAGCGGTTAGAGTGTCGGCCCACGAACCAGAGAGTCCCGAGTTTGGTTCCTGCTAAGGGCATGTACCTCAATTGCAGTTTGTCCCCCCCCAACCCCGATTGGGGTTGTGTGGGTGGCAACCAGTCAATGTGTCTCTCTTACATCGATGTTTTTCTCTCTCTCTCTTCCTCCCTCTCTTCCTCCCGCTCTATCTGAAGATAAATGCAAAAATGTCCTTGGGTAAGGATAAAAGAAAACCCCTGCTCTAGAGAATAGCCATAAATTGAGATATGTCAACTCAAACTTTATTTCCTATATCCACAAACTATATATTGAGATTCTGCTCTTAGAAACCCATATAAAAATAGCCATTAATATTAATGACTACCATACATTGTAATTTTAAGTGTCAGTAATTGTGATAAGCACTTCATACCAAGTAACTAATTTAATCTTCATGATAACCTCAGGAGGTAAAATAATTATATCTTCAATTTACAGATGAGGAAACCTACACACTAGAGCTGGAACTGGATTTCTGCTCTGACTTAATTTCCATGCTAGTCAACATAGTCATACTGTGAAAATACAAAACTGATCATAAAAATCAATAAAGATAAAAAAAAAAGCCACTAATATGTGTGAAACTAAACACAATGTGAGAATTACTTTGTAAATATAAAAGGTTTTTATTCCCCACATATACTTGTCTGGACAAGGTTTCTTAAAGTGTGAGTCAATGAAATTTAGACTGAAGATATCTTTATCTGATAAATCTCCCTGTGGAAAATATTCATTGCTCCAAAAACTTGAAAAGTTATATCTCTGGGATTATGGGTATTTATATTCTTTTTGCTTCTTTGTCTTTTTCTCTATTAAACATGTGTTGTTTTTGTGATTTTTTTAAAATTTAAAGATGATTGGTAGACACTAAAAGAAAAAAAACATTGTCAGATCAAGCCTGAATTAATAAAAGTTATATAGAATGTATACCAATTATGCATATTTAAGTGACAACTAACAATTAGAAAACTATCAATTTCCAAGCAAACACTGAACTTTAAGACTATATACTCAAAATATAATCACTGATTATAAGGTTGGAAAAAAGATGATAAATTTCATCAACACAATAAAAATGATTTGCTTTTAAGTAATGCAAAGAAGTTCCTAAACATAAACCAGAATCTTAACCCCAAGTGAAAATAATTATATCTATAGTTTTATTTTGGGATTTAGAAAAAAACAAAACACAAAGAGCACATATATCAAACTTTATCATGTACATTTTATGTTTTTATTTATTTTTTTAGAGAGAGAGAAGCATTGATGTGAGAGAGAGACATCAATGGGCTACCTCCTGCATGCCTCCCACTGGGAATTGAGCCAACAACCCAGGCATGTGCACTGACCAGGAATCGAACCGGGACCTCTCAGTGCAAGGGACAACTCGATCTACTAAACCACACCGGCCAGGCTATCACATACATTTTAAATATGTGCAGCATGTCAATTATATCGCAATAAAGCTGGAGAACCTAGAAAATAATTACTATGTGGTTAGGTCTTCTGGAAAATGCTTTTATAAAGTATTAAGCAGAAACAGTCACAAGATTTTTTAAGAGCCACTTACAATTCAGTGGGTTAGAAATGTTCAATGTTCTTATTAATGTACAGAGTTAGGTCATATGATTTCACTCACATGTGGAATTTAATGACTAAATTGAACTACCAAGCAAAATAGAGACAGACTTATAGATAAAGACCATGGCAGACAGCTCTGGTGTGTGTGGAGGGGTGGGGGCAGTGTTGGGGGGCATGGGGAAGGATTGAGCAAAAAAGAAAAAAATGAAGAGAACTCATAGATATGGACAACAGTGCGGTGATGGTGGGGGGGTGGATGTGGAAGAGGGCATAGAGAGAATAAATGGTGATTTAAAAAATAAAATAAAATAACCATACGGAAAAAATGAAATGAGCTTTTAAAAAATTATTTTGAGCTGAATCATGGACATAAATGTGAGACTATCTCCATGAATCTGCGGAGACAAAAAAGCAAACATGGCACGTAAAAGAAACTTAATTGGGCTTCATTAAAATTAAGAATTTCTGAGCAGCAAAGCTACAAGCTACAGATAGAAAGGAAAATATCTGCAACACATATACCTGCAGTGTACTCATATCCAGACTATTATAAACTTCTTATAAATAAGAAAAAGACTGACAACTCTTCATGGGCAAAACACTTGAATAAGCACTTCACTGAAGAAGATAATCCGAAAGGCTAATATGCATATAAAAATTTGCTCGACAGCATTAACTATCAAGGACATGTAAACTTAAAATCACGATGAGAAATTAATACAACTTCACCAGAATGGCTATGTTTGCAAAAATTAGAACTGGAAATCTTACATTGTTGGTTGGTGTGTAAATTGATATACTTTAGAAAACTTTTTGCCAAGATCTAGTGAAACCAGTATGCCCTATGACTGAGCACTTCCAATCTGGGATATATCTCCTAGAAATGAGTGCATAAGTCCATCAAAACACATGCACCCTGCTTTGGCTGGGTGGCTCAGTTGGCTGGAGTGTTGTCCCATACACCAAAAGGCTGCAGGTTCGATTCCCAGTCAGAGCACATACCTAGGTTGTGGATTTGATTGACAGTTGGGACACAAAGTGGAAGTGACCAATTAATGTTTCTCTCTCACACAGATGTTTCTCTTCTCTCTTCTCTTCTCTTCTCTTCTCTTCTCTTCTCTTCTCTTCTCTTCTCTTCTCTTCTCTTCTCTTCTCTTCTCTTCTCTCTCTTCTCTTCTCTCTCTCTCCCTTCCTCTCTCTAAACATAGCCTCAGCTGAGAACTAAAAAATAAAAAAGATATGCACCCCCATGTTCGGGGCTACTTTCAGAATACCCTCAAACTGTAAACAACCCAAAAGGATAAGCTGTGGTATAGCAATACAATAGAGTAATAATCAACGGTGAAAAAAAATATTCTTTGTGTGTGTTTCTCTCGGTCTTCCTGCTGCTGCTGAGTAAAGGATACTCAGACCAGCTCTTGAAGACCAGGGGAAAGAAATGGGATTAGCAAAGAGGTGGGAGAGAACTATCCCCCCATTCTGAAGCCAGATCCATTGCAATTAGACAAAACAAAACAAGAATTATAGATAGAAAAGGTTTCAATACAAAATTAGAAGTATGTGTTTCTATTAAACAGCCAATTAATTGTACCATACTGTGTATGGAAAAATTGTTTTGGCCTTCGGATGTAACTTTACAAAAAAGAGCCAGAGGGTAAAACAATAGTTTCCCAAGTAGTCACATAGACATTTGTCTTTCAAAATAGATAAACTTATTAATTCAGAATACTTTTTCTTCAGGAATATTTGAGTCATCAAACTTAGATAATTATAAATCCAAGATTACAGTCTTTGAGGCTAGGAAATCAACCCATGGGCAGTAATCATTATTAAGAGTGATTGTATTGGCATTTTTTCTTCGTTTGGGACCCCTAGTTACCATAACCGCTCGGCCGGAGGTGGAGCGGTTCAAGTCCTGGGTCGGGGAGGAGCGCCGGCACCGGCTCCCAGAAAAGCCCGGGCGGAGTTGCTGCTCGGAGAGCCCGGGCCCTGTGGTGGGAGTGGCCCCGCCCCTCGCCCCGCCCCGCCCCGCCCCCAGCGTTGAGCCGCCGCGTCTCTATGGAAACGGCCCTCCGCTCTGGCGCAGACGGGACCGCAATGGCGGCAGGGGAGCCGGGGGATTTGGGCAGCTACTACTTCAGATTCCTGCCTCAGAAAACCTTCCAGTCTCTGAGCACGCAGGAGACCACCAGCCGGCTCCGCCAGTGGTGAGAGGCCAAGGGGCAAAAAGAAGAGTCCGGTGGCCAGCGTGGCTGTAGAGACACTAGCCGGGCGTCGGGACGGGCGGGGTTGGGGCGGCCCGGTCCTGACTGAAAGCCCGCGGCAGCGGTACCACCTGCGCGGGGCGGACTGTGGGTGGGACTGGCCCACGTGCTCTCCGAGGGGGCCAGCCCCAAGCTGACTTTTGCCCTCCTCTGCTGCAGGTCCATGCTGGGCAGAATCAGGGCGCAGGCGTTCGGGTTTGACCAGGTGTTTCAGCCCTATCGGAAGGATGATTTCTTTATGGTTGGTATGGGCGCTGGAGAGTTGGGTCTCTACTGATTTTAAGTTTTTTTCCCAGTTCGGCATAGATTCATATGAACACTTCATTCTGATGACGTGGTTTTCTTGGAGTTGAAGAGGAGTGAAAGATATTAGCTCATGTTCAGTATCTTTCCGTAGAGATCTTGACAGTTTTGGAAAGTCAGTCTCTCTCTGGAAAACAGGTCTCTATTTGTCATAGGCACACCTCATTTTTGAGTATTTATTACCCAGCTTTATCACCAGCTTTAATGACTAGGCTTAGCTTCAAGTTACTTTTGGATGTTTCTCGAAATCAAATCTACCTTTGTGAGAACAGATTCTAAGAGCAGCTCCAAATGAGGAATTGAAAAAAAAAGTCGTTAGCTACTAGAAGATGAATGCTTTGAAATGGGAAAAACTAATTTTAAAGCACAATTCGTTAAAATGCAGTCACATTATTTTAATTCCTGGTTTTTTTCCTCTTCAGTCAAATGGAAAATACTCTTACGGTCTGTGATACTATCTTTGCCATTGTCCTTCAGGCACTGACTTATTCACTCATTCACAAACACTTTACCTGAGGGCCTACCATGTGCTAGAAATTCTGTCAAATGCTGGATACAAGACCCAACAAGACAGACAGGAACCTGGCTTCCAGGGATCTTACAAGCCTGTGTGGCAAGACTGTCAATAAACAAAAATCAGATCATCTCATGTACAGTGAAGAAAATAATAGTCTAATTAATAAGGCAAAATATTTCCCAGGCTGCTATACCAAAGTATCACAAAATAGGTGGCTTAACACAACAGGAAGCAAGAATCCAAAATCAAGGGGTGGGCACAGTTATGCTCCCTCTGAAACCTGTAGGGGAGAATCCTTCCTTACCTCATCGTAGCTTCTGGTGGTTGCCAGCAATCCGTGGCGCTCCTTGGCTTGCAAATGCAGAACTTTAAACCTCTACCATTGTCAGCGTCACTTAGCTGTGTCTCTCTATATCTGTGTCTCTTCTCTTTTTATAAGAATGCCAGTAAGGGGGCCAACCCTACTCCAGTATAACATCATCTTAACTGATTATATCTGCAACAACCCTGTTTCCAACTAAAATCACTTTCTGAGGTTTCAGGAAGGACCTAAATTTTGGTGGGCACACTAATTCTACCCTTAACAGAGGGTAAATGGATTAAATGTCTATTTCTCTTTCCCTAAGATAGTGTTATAATGCTAATATAATATAATGCTATTGTAACGCTACTGATGATGACATTAATGACATTTCTCAAATATTCATGGTTAGATTTTTATAGTTTTAGATTTTTCATTTATACCAGTACTAGCTCTCAATAATTTTTTAAAAGAAGATGATGATTTAATTCACTGAATTTGAGAGTGCTATAAAATTTTTAATGTAAGTCACTTATTCAATAAATATTTATTGAATATTTGCTATGTCCCTGCTGGGGAATGTTAAAACAATTTGATCCAAGCTTGCAAAGTATATACAGTTTTGGAAGCTAGAAATGTAAAATATCCTCTACAACACAATAAACTAATTGCTATAATCAGGTGCCTTAAGCATAGGAAAAGACCACTTAATGGAGGAACATTGATATTGGGAAAAATGTCTTGGAGGAGAGTGCAGAATTCATTTGGGTTGTGAAGTAGACAGAGTTCATCAATAGATTCAAGACTCATCCTCATCCATAAAGCACAATCAATTTCCTTAATATCAGGTAATTTTTTTCTAATATTCAACATCTTTATATTTGTTTATCCTAATTTTTTTTCCTGTGAGGTAGATGGTATTATTCCTATATTTCAATTCAAAGAATTGTACTCATACAGTCATTTTTGTTACTCATGTAACTAATTTGGAGGAAATAAAGCATTGTGGCAAAGAACATGGCCCAGGAGAGGATTTGAATCTGCAGGGTCCCTCACTGGCTCAAGCTCCTTACTTATAGAAGCCCTTTCCAAGGAACTCTGAGAGACTCTACCAACATGGTCACATGGTCATATGTTTTTAGAATTTTTCAAAAATAGATGTTTTTGTATTCTTAGAGCCCCTAAAATTGTATAATCTTAAGGCCCTATATAAAACTTGGGTCTTCTCTATTTGTCCTCTAGTTAACTATCTGTATTCAAGTTCCAACTCTGCCACTTATAAGCTATATGACTTTGGGCAAATTACTTAACCATGAAAATAATGCTAAATATATGAGAAAATTATTAATGAAGATTAAAGATAAAATATATATAAAGTATTTCACAAATGCCTGGCTCATGTTGTTAACATTTGTGTGATACTTTACAAAGTGTTTTTTTTATAGTAATAGTGACTTCTGTTTGCCAGATTAGCTTTCAGCACTTTTTATACATTTGTCACTAATCTTTACAACAATCTGGTAAGTTTGGTGTTTTGATCCCCATTTCATAGCTGAGGAAACTAAAGCTCAGAGTGGTTAAATACTTTGTGCAAGAATGCCTAGCAAATGGCAGAATCCAGGCCTTCTGACTTAAACATCCATGTCATTTCTACTACAAAACCTTATAACTGAACAAAGGATATTGCTTAAACTAGAATTCCAGATTTTGGATTTTTCTTTCAATTTAAAAACAAATTATGGCCCTGGCCGGTTTGGCTCAGTGGTTAGAGTGTTGGCCTGCAGTCCAGAGAGACCCAGGTTCGGTCCCTGCTAAGGGCATGTACCTCGATTGCAGTTTGTCCCCAGCCCTGGTTGGTCGTGTGGGTGGCAGCCACTAGATGTGTCCCTTTCACGTCAATGTTTCTCTCTCTCTCTCTCTCTCTCTCTCTCTCTCTCTCTCTCCCTCCCTCCCTCCCTCTCCCCTTCCTACTCTATCTGAACAAAAAATAGAAAAATGTCCTCGGGTGAGGATAAAAAAAATAATTTAAAATAAAATTTGAAAATAATAAAAAATAAAAACAAATTATGTTCCAAAGTTAATTAGTAAATGGATGGTAAGAAGGAAACATTGCTTTAGTTCCTAGGTCTGTGCAGATGAACAGGGCAGCTAAGGAGAGGGAAGTACCAAAATTTGCATTGCATAGTGAACAATGATATCAAACATATCATATGCATAAGGTACTGTGGTGTCACAAAAAAGAAAGTGATAGTTTTTGACTGAAGTGGTCAGAGGAGGGTTTACAAAATACAAGTCACTTGAAAGATGTGGAGAAGTTTGTCAGATAGACAAAGTGGGGGGACAGTGTTATAAAGATGGGTGGCACGATATTTTAAAAGACCTTTTGAGCCATACAAAGGAGTTTGAGCTTTAGCTAGTGAAGAGTAACTGAAAGGTTTTCAGCAAGGCAGTAAAACGTAAAATACTGAGATCACCGTGGCAGAATTGTGGAGGGTAGATTGTTAGGGCTGAGTATAGAAGCAGTGAGACCAAATTGGAAACTTGTCTTCCAGAGAGTATATGATGATGTTCTCAATTAAGACATTAGCACTAAGTTAAAAAAAAAAAAGCAGTACCAGAATGGCCTGGAGAGATGTTTATGAAAAAGGCAATATGAATGGCAGATGATATCACTAAATGCATAGAGAGTACAAACAAACAAAATGAGTTCAGTTTTAGGCATGCTAAATTGGAGATGCATCCAAGCGGCAATATCCTAGATAGTTGAATATAAGATCACACTTTGAGTCTCAGGAGAGCGTTGGCCTCAGTATACAGTGTTGGCATCCTCACTATGGGACTAGGGTAATGAGGGGAACCTTCCACATAAATTGCAAGGAGGCTCTTAATTTACAGAGCTCTCCTGAAGGTCTGTAAAACACTTCTGCTTACATTTCATGACAAGATTTTGTTTATATCTCATGGCCACATACCACATAGACTAGAAATGCAGAATTTTAGCTGAGCATGTGGCTTTTCCAAATAAAATTGGGATTCCTTAAAGAAAGAATTGACATCGGATCAGAAACCAGCAGTGTACCATATAGATAATATAGTCAAATATCTACTTATATGTCATATGTGAGGCATATAGGAGACATACATTAAACATTATATAGAAAATAATATATTAATTTTAGAAATACTTTCAAACACTCACATTTCTTTTTAATTTATTTTTATTGTTGAAAGTATTATATATGTACCTTGTTGTTTCCCCCATTGACCCCCTCTACTCTGCTCACCCCCACCCCTGCCCTTCACCAAACTATTGTTTGTGTCCCTGGGTTATGCATATATGCATTTTATCATCAGTATCTTTGTTATCACTATAATTAGTTTATGAATCATCTAATATTTTTCCAAAACACATCAGCTTTCCTAAAATTATTAGAGATACAGAGCATCCCTTCTAATGCCTCACTGGAAATTCTCTAGCAATCCAAAACACATTTGCAACATTATGGTAGGGTGCTTTTTAAAAAATTCATTCTTTAGGTGTATAATTTTAATCTCAATAATGTAACTATCATATTGCTTTAGTTGAGGGACCTTCATGAAGACTTATTTCCATTGGCTCCAGATCCATTCACTGCAGGCCACATTGCCTACTTCGATTGCAATTTGAAAGAAAGGGAAAGGGTGAGAGGGAGAAACATCGATGTGAGAGCTGAACATCCATGGGCTGCCTCCCGAACCCCCACCCCCAACCCCATTGGGGACTGACCTCAAAACCCTGTCATGTGCCCCTGAGTGGGAATCAAAAGGGCAACCAAGCAGTGCATGGGATGATGCCCAACCAACTGAGCCACACTGGCCAGGGCGCAGCTTGTTACTTTTCAAACATGTATGTTATATAAACTAAAATAGTTGCACAAGCACTCTTTACTTTGAAAGACTTGGTAAAGTTATAAAGCAGCTTCCTTTTTTTTTATGAGGAATAACTTTGGGGAAAGCTTACTTTTTGTAATTGGGCATGTATGATGCCTATAACATGCTTACCTTTATCCTCCACCACTATATGCAAACTCCAGGGAACCAGGACTTTGTTTTGCCTGGCATAATGTAGACATTCACAAAT